TTTGGTCAAATCGAAAACACAGGGACTAAACTAGAGGATAGAGTAAAACACACCATTTTGACATTTAAGCCTTTTTTGAAAAAAAAAAAAAAAAAAGAAAGGACAACTGGTGATTAATCATGGTTATTCACCCCTTTCGAGGGTCAGAAAGACTCACAGAGGCATTTCAGCCTCCATTTGGCCATAGGTTTGACTTTCACACCAACATCAGATTTCGAACCCAAGACCTTCAGTATTTTAGTTTTAAGGAAATTTCATAATCCGTCATTTATCAGTGTATTTGGTGTTAAGCTATTGGTCACGTGGGAGACATGGACGAAGATCCCTGGTCCATCATCACACCACCTGTTTTCCCAAAGAAACAGTTTTTGTTTTCTCTCTTTCTCTCATTGTTTTCTGTTTGTCTTGTGCCTCCGCGAGCTACCTCCAACAGAATCTCAGAAAAGTTTTTCCAAAGGTGCGAACTTGCTTTTGATCCTATACCAAAAATCATCACCTTCTTCTTCTTCTTCTTTTTCTTCTTCTGCTTTTCTATTGTTCTTATTGTGGGTTTTAAGGTTATTTTTCTAACTTTGCTGAGGAACTGATTTGATAATAATGTGCTTTTCTTTTTCCTGCCATTGCCTAGATTTGATATATATTGTGGAATATATGAGATGGGTTTTTAGAATATGTGATTCTGAATGTGTGTTGGAAACTAGAGGATCTGTTTGCTCATATATTTGTATGTTTTGATGTTTGCCTTCAAGAATCTCAAGAGCTGCAACTGTAAAGAGGTTTATTTTTTTATTTTTTTATAGAGTATAAATCAAAGAAGTTTATGAGTTTTTATTTTATTTTTTCCTACTAATACAGTGATTGAAATTTGATGTGTGGTTAGGATTGAACATGATCACTGAAATTTGTCCGTGTAACATTGTTGTAGATTGTTTCCAAATGGGTATTTAAATTCTTGATTTGGGGTTTTGAAGATGCCATTATAACTCAAGAACAATTCCTTTTCTGATCGGGGGAAGATTTCGGATCAGTTGTTCACTTTCACGTGTTTATTTATTGGTAAAAAAATTCAGTGAGAATAAATGCATGATCTTCTGTCTACTCTGTCGTATGATGAGCTAAATATGCTCAACTAATCAAATGAAATGAATAAAAAGGTGAAAAGAGTTTAATTTACGAAAGCCGACCCTATGTTGTACACTATATGCTTTTGTAGTTGAAATTCAGACTTCCATGTTGGTGGGCACATAGTAAATGAGAATCAATATCAAACATCGGAGTTGAATATGGACGCTATAAAGATACAGCTTCCTTATACAATGTGGTAGTAACAATGCCAAGTATGAAGGTTTACCTTATTCAATCCACCATGTAAAGTTAATTGAAGTTTCAGACTTTTTAAACCGCAGCTCCTCAAAATATTTTTTTCCTCGCAAGACTTTCTTTCCTATTAGGTTCATATGTTATTAACTATTTTTGCTACCGAGAGGATCATGTTCGTGGACTGGATACTCTACGTTCCATTGTGTTGGTTGTCTTGTTACTGGAGAAAAGTGGCTCCTAGAGGACAATAGTTTAATTTAATTCTATTCTAGGAATGAACTTGTGTTTGCCATTATAGATTTATTTGCAAAGTTAAGAATCTTTTATTTGAACTTCCCTCTGGGTGATATTTCTACATATTTACGTCTGGAGCTGTCTTTTTCTTTCTTTGTTTGATATCCAGGTTTCAGAAGCACTTTAACAAGTGCGGTCTTAAAATGGATTATGGTGCCGGTCATGAAGCAAGCGTATCTGTCAATGATGTTAATATTGATGACCTGGAAGTGGAGTCGAATAAAGTTAGCAATCTCGGAAGTGTCTCATCTGATGGTGTGGTTATTGGAGAATTAAGACATCTTGGCGAGGTTTTGACCCGAGTGGAACTAGATCTAGCATGTGCATCTGAGAAGTTGGTTAATCTAAATGTTCTTATGATGCACGTGGCAACCAAGGAGAGCGAATTTGAAGCCTTTGCTTCCGCCAAAGAGCAGACATCAGCTTATTATCTTGAGAAGGCTCTGGAACTCACTCTGTCATCTGGGATTTTAGATTCAGAGTTGAGTGAATTGGATAAACTCATGGCTGTACTTCAAACAGAGATCACCAGTGCCCAAGGGATACTATCTTCATACACATACTTGGGAGAAACCGTCGCGGTAATAGAAGAAAAGCTGCACGACTCTGAACAATCGTTGAAGCAGTTGCAAGATCAGGTTTATGAAATTAGGATGGAATCCTTGAATCTCCAGAGGGCATTTCCATGTTTTGACGGAGAACAAAACTGTAAGCCACACGCCTTAATTCTGTTCTTGATTTTCTTGTCATGACCATGTTTTTCTCATTCTTATTTTGTTTATGAGTGATGGAGTTGCCTGAAATTTATTGCATACACCAGGCAGGTCTGTAACCACTTTTGTAAGTGCACAAGTCCTTTTAAGTTGTGAAATATTCTAGAGTATAACTGTTTATTTTCTTTCGCATTCTTTTGCTTTGCATATTGACAGGGAACAATAACGAAGGAGTGGTTGATTTAAAGGATGACAAAGTTTCTAGTACAAATGTAAAGATAAAAATGCAATCCGTAGAACAGCAAAGACATATACTGAGGATGCTAGAGAAGTCTTTGGCAAGAGAGATGGATCTTGAAAAGAAATTGACCGAATCAAAACAGATTGAAGGAGATCTGAAATTGAGGGTGCACGCTTCGGAGCAAGAAGCATATTGCATGGAGGAGGAAGCGGCAGATGCTTTGGATAGGTGGTTACAGGCAGATAATGCATCTGAGGTCCTGATGGGTATTTCAAAAGAGCTATTGGGTAGACTCCAGGTTCTCCAGTTTAATTTAAATGGTTCGGCTCAGCGAGAAGCTGAGCTAAGATCGAAACTCGATGGTCAGGCTGAAGCCAAAGAAAATACTTTGCGGAAGCTTGAAAGCAGCAACGCAAAACTAAATAGCTTCCTTCTAGAACAGACAGCCGGCTTAAAAGACAGCTTGAAGGAAGCTGAAGATAAGTTAATTATCGCTGATTCCGAGGCCTTTACCTTGAGGGAAAAAGTGGGCGCACTTGAAGAGCAGCATAGTGTTGAAATCAGTGAATTGGAAAATGTTATTGCTGATCTTAAAGAGAACATATATAAAGCTGAAGCCAGAGCCGAGAATGCAGAAGCCAAAAGCAAATTGTTAACAGAGACTAATATGGAACTTAATGAAGAGCTCGGACTTCTTAAAAGCGCTGGCAGTGCCTTGGAGACGGCGGATTCACTTGAGAGAAAGTTAAGGGAAGCAGATACCCGGTTACAGCATGCAGTGGCGTCTGCTGAAGCTAGCCAGGAGAAACAGAACATGTTGAATTCTACAGTCACTGACATGGAAAATGTGATTGAAGATCTAAAGCAGAAGGTTTTAAAAGCTGAAAATCGGGCCGACAGTACGGAGGACAAGTGTATAATTTTATCAGAATCCAATGCAGATTTAAATGAGGAAATAAGCTTTCTGAGGGGTCGATTGGAATTCTTGGAGGCATCTTTACATCAAGCCGAGGAAGTAAAAATAGCTACTGCGACTGATATTGGTATTCAGTCCAAAGTTCTTACAAACTTATTGATGCAACTTGCTTTTGAGAGAGAGCGCCTTCATAAGCAGGTATTCACCTATATTTGATTACTTTTTCAAGTGCAAGGTTGGCTTTTGACTGTGAAGTGGGAAATGTCTCCTTTTTCTTGTATCTTTCAAATGACATGGCACCTGATTTCTTTTTCCTTTTGGTTATATAACATTCAGTATTTAGGTGAAAATGTGAATAATGTGTTTTTCCAACTCTAAATATTCTCCTTAGATGCTGGTGATTGAATGTGCAGATTTCTTCATTAGCTATGGAGAATAAAACTTTAAAACTGAAGTTGCAAACAAACAATTCTCGTTCTGTGGCCGTGGGAAATGATGATAGGGAAAATCGTGAAGACTCTAAGCATGAAATGGCTACAGTTAGGAGAGAAACTAAAGAAGAAGATGAGTTGTCCGCTAGCAATTCTAAGGTCGGTACTATGATGAACCCTGTTTGACTTATGTTTACCTTGCTTTGTTAATAATCAGCGTTTTCTACTGAGATTTACATTTGTAAAATGGGTTTCGTATTTGTACTTTTCAGCTGGATAGGACTCGGAATAATTCATCTCTTGGTGGGAGTTGTGAGACTGAAGTGGAACATACTGATTCCACAGCAGAGTTCGAGACCGTGAGGAGAATAGATGCCGGAGTTCTAAGCTTTAAGCATTTACTCATGGCAACGTTCATTCTACTGGTTTCTGCCGGAGCTTATTTTTTTCTCCAACAAGACTGCCCATTTTGATGTTGCTGCAGAAGAAAGAAAAAGGGAAAAGAAGGCTTATGTTCTGAACCGAAGTTATATGCTGACTGCCCTTCGTCTATCCAGACATAGCAAGATACTTTTTGATATCCACTGTTGAGTTGTAAAATCTCCGTTAGATATATTCTCAAAATCATTGAGATTTCCAGAGATTGATGGAGGTTACCCCTATTGACCTGAGCATTTTCTGTAACTTGTTGGGTAATTAGGTGGTAATTACTTGTATAAATGAATGTAAATACAGTAAGCAACTTCGATGATAGTTTTTACTTTTTACCATTCTTTATGAATTTTGAATGCTTATAATTTTTTACTTAGCTGTTAAAACAAACAAATAAATAAAGGATCAATAGATGCAAATCTAACTAAGATTACGTCTTTGTTTATGATATTCACGTATGAGTTTTTATCGTCGAGCCGTTAGGGTTAGTTCAAGTGGCAAGGGAAGGGCGGCGTAATGCGTTAGGATTATAATATATCAAAGTGGCGTAATGCGTTAGGGTTATAATATGTCGAAGGCCGATTCTTCAGACTGTAACAAAGAAGAAGAAAAATTATATGATATAAATACATTTAACTGAAATAGCGGTGATACATAACAAACATGCAAATAACTTGCAGTCTTTCTATTTTTATTCTGATTTCCTGAAGCTCTTAGCCTCAGAAGCGTTAGAAAATGACTGATGGAGATCAAGAAAACATGTCAAGGCACAACATAGAAAACGCCGATGAGCGAGTTCCTTTGTTATCAAGCACACAAGATCACGAGAAGGTTTCTGGAGCATCCTTTCATGGCTCGGTGTTCAACCTGTCATGCACAATCGTCGGCTCGGGAATCATGAGCCTGCCCGCAACCCTGAAACTCTTGGGGCTCGTTCCCGGGATTGTGTTGATCGTTACAGTTGCGTTTGTTATCCAGGCGTCGATTGAGATGCTGTTGAGATTCAGCAAGGCAGGGTCTGCATGTTCCTATGGAAATGTCATGGGTGATGCCTTTGGAAGAATAGGGAAGGTTGTGCTCCAGATCTGCATTGTTATCTACAACACTGGCTCTCTTATTGTGTACATGATCATAATTGGTATGAGTATTATCCTGTGCTTCTATAAAATTAAAAAGCCGGCAGTGCATGCTGACTATTTTGGAGTGCTAATAACTCTTCTCTCTTCTTTGACGGCTCTGATAGTGTTTGTTTCCTTTTAAAAACTAGAGGATGTGCTTTCCGGATCAAACTCAAAGGAGGCTCACCACACCGGCATTTTGGAAGGGTGGTTTGGAGCTCACTGGTGGACTAGCCGCGCCTTTGTTCTTGTCACAGTAACTGTTGTCATCTTTTTACCATTGATGTTCTTCGAGCGTATCGGTTGGTAATAGTTCCTATTGGCTGCAGATTCAGCTTAAACTTAGTAGGGTAGGGATATAACTCTTTGTACTTTTGTCTGCAGATTCAGCAAGATACATCTCTATCATATCGGTTGGATTGGCACTTGTGTTTCTTCTTGTTGTCATTGGAGTCACAGCTTACAAACTAATGGATGGAAGCATCGAGACGCCAAAATGGTTTCCAAATGTGACTGATTCTGCATCATTCTTTAATCTCTTCACCGCAGTCCCTGTTGTTGTTTTCGCATACATCTGTCACTACAATGGTATTCAAGATGATCATCTCTTTATATTCAATTGCATTCTCTGCTTCTTTACATTCAACAACTTGTTTTCGTGTGCAATTGCGCGCTTTCAAGGGAAAAAGAAGTGAATGTTTAGGTCTTTTGCATCCATTGTAGTTGGGTAAAATTGATAAGTGATGAGATTTTCTCAAAACACAAAGAGAATCTCTGCATGGCGAAATGGTTTGCCTTTCTGAAATACGAAATTTGATTACTTGCAGTACACACAATTCAGAACGAGCTTGAAGATCCTTCCCTAATGCGAGCAGTTGTTCGAGGTTCACTTGCCCTATGTGCAGTTGTATATGTAATGACAGGCATTTTCGGGTTCCTTCTCTTTGGCGAATCAACATATTCTGATCTGCTCTCCAACTTTGACACCGACATTGGCATCCCCTACAGTTGGCTGTTCAACGACATTATTCGAATCAGCTACGCAGGGCACGTCATACTAGTATTCCCAACCATTTTCTTACCGCTCCGGCTCAACTTGGATGGCCTTCTTTTCCCCTCGGCAAGGCCTCTGGCTTTAGACAAGAAGAGATTTGTGTTGGAAAGTTTAGGGCTTGTCTTCGTTGCCCTTGTGGGTGCAATATTCGTACCAAATATTTGGATAGCTTTTGAGTTCACCGGTGCAACCATGGGAGGATTACTTGCATTTGTTTTCCCTGCTTCCATCACTCTCAAGTGAGTCTTTTTCTTTCTTGAACTAGAGTTAACTCACTTCAGTTAGAACGCGTTACAAACTTTTAATTGAAAACGGAACTAGAGGAAACACTAAACCCACCATAAGCCGTAGATAGGGAGGTGAATTCTGCACTCATGTTTCACCTTATGCATTTCTCCCGCCAGTTATGTTCCTTAAATGTTAATTTATGCATCCAATAACGGAAAAGGTGAAATGGGAGTGTAGAATTCACTTCCTTCATAGATAAACCGCAATTTAGCGCTCCTTTATTATTAACTTAGTGTCTCTCTGGTTCTATTTTCAATTAAAAGTTTGTAACCAGTTTCTTTTGTGTATATGATACAAACATTGTAAGACGTTGATATTTTCAATATTATTTTCTCTGATGATTTTGGTGTGTTTCAGGGATCCTCATTGTACAAGGGACAAGATTGTGTCAGTCTCCATGATCCTTCTTGCAGTATTTGCAAACCTGATGGCCACTTACAGCAATCTCAGCTCTTTGGTGTCATAACACGGTTTAGGAACTTGGTTTCTTTGCATAATGCAACAGACATTAAGTTTAATTTCTGCTTTGTGGAAGATTCAATGTTTATCACGGATTAAGGCATTTAAGTGACTTCTAGTTAGATGGAGCCCAATTAAGGGATTGAAAGGCCTTATGGCCGGATATAGGAGAGAGAGAGAGAGGTGAGTGAGGGTTGCTTTAGAAACAACCTTATGCATATATACATGTTCAACATCCATCATTCTTGCTCTTTAGTACTACGGTCTAGTGATATTTCTTTTCACTTGTAAGTGAGAGGTCTTAAATTCGACTCTCGCTAAAGTCGAATTTGTCGAACTATAGAAACTAGAGGCACCATCACTTTGGTGCGAGGGAGATCGCGACAGGATCACGGAGGAAAGGTCCTGCACAAAGGTTGATCAACTTTGATTTTTCAAAATCAAATTAGTGCTATAAGAGGTAGTTTTTTTTATCATTCTTCCATTTCCTTTTAGTCCAAAGAGCGAGTTTAAAGATCCATTGGTTTGGAAGTTCGGTTTGCACGTATGTATTAGTTTAAAGATCAATTGTTTTGGATCAAAATCATTGTGAAATTTCAATTTTTTTAACCCAAAACCAACATACCAGCCACGAACCGCCATTAAGGCTTAGCCCTGGAAGATTTCATAACGGAGTTCACTCTTTCTGGAATAAATGATCATCTAACACTGGCCGACCAACATGTGGCCAATGCACACCCAATCGAAGGACCCCAAAATGACAATCTCAACCGAGCAGACTGCCCGCGTGATGTGTGGCGCTTGCATGTAGATAGATCTTCTAAGGGACATGCAAAAGACTTGTATTGGTCACCCCGACGGATCTATGCTTCAACAGTCACTTTCGCTTGGATTTCAATGCCTCAAACAACGAGGTAGAGTATGAAGCACTGCTTGCAAGCTCAAGGCTAGCAAAAGAAATATTAGTACAAAAAGATGGCCATAAATTCCGATTCCTCGCTGATCACCAATCAGACATCCATCGAGTACATCCAAAGCACTTGAGGATGATACGATACTTGAAAAAAGTTCAAGAGCTCCTCGAAGCACTTCCAGTCTACACTAACCAAATTCCCCTAACTCTCATGTTCACGTCCTTGTCAACCTTTGATCTACCCTGGACCGCCATTTCAAGGGTCAATCCTTGTCGAGCACCTCGAACGACCTAAGCATCGACAAGGTCGTAATGCAGATTGACACTTCTTGAAATACCTTATAAATTAATTAATCATTGGTATTCAAATACCATATATATAAAATTTATTTTCTAAATTTCCCCGATAAGCTTACCACTGAAATTGCATGGCTACAAAATTAAGCATGTGAAAAAGGAAAAGTATCAAAATAATGAGAAATTTGGAAAAATAAAATTTAGATTTTATATAGAATTATAGCCACTCCTTTAAGTTTATAACAATTATAGCTAAAAGTTGATATGAAAATACTAATATACCCGTAAAATAAAAACTGAGAGAAAAGAAGAGAGTTTGAAAATATATCTCTAAAGAAACTAAATGTATTGTAATTGACTTTCTTATTATTCTCAAACCCCGGATTACATTCTTATATACAAGGTGTGTATCACAATCCTAGTTCGTTGCCTATAATCAAGGCTAACTAGAACTAAATAAAGAAAGAAATCACTAATGAGCAATTTACAATGGTTGACCTAATCAATCTAGGATATCTTCTTTAACACTCCCCCTCAAGTTGGAGTGTATATTGATGACACCCAACTTGGTAAGTAAGACTTCAAACTGGACTGAACCCAGTGCCTTGGTAAACATATCAGCTGGTTGGTTCGTAGTTCGTACATAAGCTGTTTTTATCATCCCTTCTTGAATCCTTTCACGCACTACATGACAGTCTATCTCAATGTGCTTTGTTCGTTCATGAAACACCGGGTTTGAGGAGATATGCAAAGCTGCTTGGTTGTCACAGAATAACGTAACAGGTTGTGCATGTTCTATTCTCAAATCTGTCAAGATGTTCTTTAACCATGTGACTTCACAACACGTAGTTGCCATAGAGCGATATTCTGCTTCTGCACTGGAACGAGACACAGTGCTTTGCTTCTTCGTCTTCCAAGAAATTGGCGCTTGACCAAGTAAGATGCAATAACCAGTTATCGATCTTCTGGTGTCCTTACATCGAGCCCAATCAGCGTCACAAAATGCTTGTAGTTGTAATGACCCTGTGGAAGGAAGAAATATTCCTTGTCCAGGAGCTTGCTTGATGTACCTTAGAACTTTATGTGCTGCTTCAAGATGTGGCTGCCGTGGCTTATCCATGAACTGACTTAATACATGAACTGCATAAGTTAGATCAGGTCTTGTGATGGTCAAATAGATTAATCTGCCCACGAGTCGCCTATATGAAGACGGATCACTCAATAATTTCCCATCTGCTTGTGTGAGAGATAAATGTTGTTCCAAAGGAACCCGTGAGGGTTTTGCACCAAGGAACCCCGTGTCTTCCAATATTTCCAACGCATATTTGCGTTGACATAGAGTGATTCCCTTCTTTGATCTTGCAACTTCTATCCCCAAGAAGTATTTAAGCTGTCCCAAATCCTTTAGTTTGAACCGTGAGGAAAGGAATTGCTTGGTGTCTTCTATCTCGTGCAAATTGTTCCCTGCAAGGATTACGTCATCAACGTAAACCAATAAGGCTATGAAACTGCCTTGACGGCTTCGGACGAACAACGAGTAATCAGACCGTGATTGATGAAATCCAGCAGCCTTGAGAGCAGTGGAGAGCTTGATGAACCATTGCCTCGAGGCTTGCTTTAAGCCGTAAATGGATTTATTTAGTTTGCAAACACGAGTCTCCCCCTTTCGTCCAAATCCAGGCGGCAAGGACATATAAACATCTTCATACAAATCACCATGCAGGAACGCATTATTCACGTCAAGTTGGTGCAAATGCCACCCTTGTATCGAAGCAATGCTGAGAAGAACACGAACCGTGGTCAGTTTGGCAACCGGTGCAAAAGTTTCCCTATAATCAACACCCTCGATTTGACTGTATCCTTTCGCCACAAGACGTGCCTTGTATCGTTCGAGACTGCCATCAGGTTGAAGCTTGACTTTATAGACCCATTTGCAGCCAATGGGACGTTTATGTAGTGGCAAGGGCATGAGAGTCCAAGTGTGGTTGGCTTGAAGGGCAGCAATTTCATGCTGCATGGCTGCACGCCACATGGGATCCTGAACAGCCTGCTGAAAACTAGTAGGTTCTTTAAGGAGGGTAAGAGTAGTGGTGAAGGCTTTATGGTGAGATGACAAACGATCATAGGACAAAGAATGAGAAAGAGAATGAGAAGTACCTGGGGATGTGACCATGCTCGTGGAGGATGTGGGGGCTGTACGTGAAGGAAGGGCTACCTCAACGTGAAAGTCCTGCAAAAACGTGGATGGTTTAATTGGTCGCGTGCCGCGTCGGAGAGGAGGAGAGGCAGAAGGAGCAGGAGGTGTGGGAGAGGGTGAAGACGGAGAAGGAGGGCTGGTGGGTGTAGTAGGGGATGGTGGAGTAGGGTCCTGTAGGTTAGGGCTGGTAGGTAATGCTTCTGAGAAAGACGCTGAAGAGGGAAGTTGAGGAGAGGAATCAATGGTCAATGGAAAAGTAGATATGGGATGTGAAGAGGATGGTGGTGACACAGCGGAAAGTTCATGAGCCTGATAAGGGAATTGATCCTCAAAGAACACAACATCCCGTGAAACAAGGACCTTCTTAAGAGTGAGATCAAAGAGTCGATAACCCTTTTGACCATAAGGGTAACCAAGAAAGATACAACGGCTCGCACGAGGATCAAATTTGGAAGGTCGTTGGGCATGAGTGGAGGCGAAGCATAGACAACCAAAGACACGCAAGTGAGAGTAGTTTGGTGGTTTATGGAACAATGTTTCATATGGTGTTTTCCCTTGGAGAAGAGGGGTTGGTGTTCGATTGATAAGGTATGTCGCAGCAAGAATGGCATCGCCCCAAAAGTGTTTAGGAAGTGAAGCTTGGAAAAGCAATGCTCTAGCCATGTTGAGTAAGTGCCGGTGTTTGCGTTCAGCAACACCGTTTTGCTGAGGTGTGTTAACACAGCTAGATTGATGGAGAATGCCTTTGGAGGCGTAAAAACTTGCAAGTTTAAATTCAGGACCATTATCACTGCGCACAATCTTGATTTTAGCATTGAATTGAGTTTCGACCATATGAATGAATTGGACTAAGAAAGTGCATGTATCTGACTTATGCTTCATCAAATAAACCCATGTGCTTCTACTATGGTCATCTACGATAGTAAGAAAGTATTTAGCTCCTGAAAGAGACGCAACTTGGTAACCACCCCAAATATCAATATGTATTAACTCAAAACAAGATTGACTAGAAATGGAACTTAATGAAAAAGGTAATCTGGTTTGTTTGGCTAATGGACAAATCAAACATTTATTTGAAGCACAAGATCTATGAGTGAGAAAAGGAAATAACGAAGAAGCTGTAGGAAAGGGATGTCCGAGACGTTGATGCCAACAGTTTGGAGAGGTAACTTGAACGTGATTGCATGTTCCTTTCTTAGGTGGATCAAGGTAGTATAGCCCCTTCCGTTCACTGCCCATCCCAATCATCTTCCCCGAGCGTAGGTCCTGTATGATACAAGAATGGTTGAGAAATATAGTGACATAAAGTGAGTCATATGCTAACTTGCTGATGGATATTAGGTTGAGCTTAAAAAGAGGTACGCATAAGACATTATCAAGCATAAAGTGAGGTGAGAAGATTATTTGTCCAATGTGGGTAACCTGGGCAAGAGAACCATTTGGTAATTCAACTGTATGATTTGAAACTTCCCTGGAATGGGTGAGAAGATCATGACTACAAACAATGTGGTCTGTGGCACCACTGTCTAGGATCCATACATTTTGTTTGCCATTATATGTAAAGGAGAAGGCTTTACCTGAAAGTTCTTCTATATGTGAGGAATTACCGACTTGGTTGGCAAAGGAATGGTGAGAATTTGCTGACTTGTTTTTGTTCAACATGTTGAGAATCTGCTTGCAATCTTCCTGAGAGAAGGGGAAGCTAGACATCACCTCCTTTTTGTCATGAGATGTAACCTGATTCCCTTTGGAAGAGAAGGGACGGTTTGATTCAATTTCTGCAGCTGCTTTTCTCTTGCGACAGTAGTCAAATGTGTGACCTTTCCAGCCACAGAAAGTGCATTTAAGGTGAGCACGACAATTCTTTGTAAGATGATTTGTCTTGTTGCATTTTTCACAGCGCGGCCCTCCATCGTTTAATTCAGTGTCGCGGCCCACACCTTTTACAGCAAACACAGCCGCTTCTGGTTGAACAATATGCTTCCCATTCGAGACTTCAGTTTGTTTCTCATGTCGAAGGACAAGTGCATAGGCTTTGTTGACAGTAGGCAGTGGTTCTAACAACAAGGTGTTGCTACGAACTGTGGCATACGAATCATTTAAACCCATGAGAAACTTCATCGTTTTCTGAGTTTCAACATACGATGTTATCTCTCTCTTGGTCTCACAGTGACATGCAGGGATCGAAACCAAGGCATCACGTTCATCCCAAAGGCTCTTAAGTTTAGTAAAATAAGAGCTTACTGTCATACTGTTTTGCACACAGTCATGAATTTCATTCTCTATATGAAAAAGTTGAACAATATTCACATGAGAAAATCTTTCTTGCAGATCA